TCATTATCTCAACTAAGCCTGTAGCTCTGTGATCTTCCACTGTGCTAAATACGAAGTTTAATTTTTGTTCTTGGCAAAATTGTGGACAGCCTTCGAAAAAAAACCCAGACCCCTGGTCCGTTCTAATAGTTCTAGGTATCCCCTGTAACGTTATGTTTTTCCTTGAAAAATTGATGACTGACTTTGCAGATGTACTATATGTTATTTGAGCTGAAAATAATTTAGGAAATCGTCCTACGCAGACTAGTATATTTTTTGTTAATCTCCAAGTCAGAGTTAATGAGCTGACGAATTCTAATTTTGTTTCTTGTTTTGGTTCTACAACCGGTGGGATCTTGTTTTGTTAATGACTTTAGGTTTTATCTGTTTAAAGCGCTCGGTGCAGTTCTTTCCATGAATGTGGCTTTCACTATAAAATTTTCGGACCCCAGGTGTAGAGTGTCTCCAGGCTCTTCATGGCAAGTTAGCCAGGGTGAGCTTCAAGAAGTGTATGTAGCATCATAGACCTCAACCATGCCGGGATAATAAGTGCAATCAAAAAATGCATTCCCTATCGACATGTAGATTATTAAGATAGGGCTTATAGTATTTTCCCATCTGTAATATGTCCTGTTTTCGATCTTTATATATAGCTCTATTTTTTTAAGAACAAGATCTTATTTTGTAAATATAGCCACGATTTTCGAGTCAAAGTTTTAAAGCCAAGAGAATGAGAAATTTAAATGCTAAAACGTTTTTGGACTTTTATCATAAGCACCGGTTTGATATTAAAAAAAGCCCCTAGGGAAACTTGTACTAGGTACAGTAGAAGGAGAATGATTAAGTGAATTTTCTTAATCAGAATGGGTCTGTTCGATTGAATCTATTATGTCTGATCGTTCTATCAAAACCTTAAAATTGTTAGAGAAGTTAACCATTTGACAGGATGGAGATCAGTCTTCTGCACGTGAACGAAAATTTAGTACTCAGAAATTTTAGAATGAGCGAACAAAATTTACGACAATTTTGTAGCGTTCTCAGTTTGTTTCTCACATTCAATTGCTTGCAGGGTGAGCTTATTATCCGATTGAAATATCACGTTGCATTATTGTGAGTCAAGTGGCTCTGGTTGCTGAGAGAGTTTGCCTCTTATTTGAGAACGAAAATGAAATGTCAAGGCATCAAATTTCAAAGCCGAGAAGGAAATAATATAGTTTACTGAGCCGATAACAATTGTTTCATTGTCATACGAAATGGGCACGGAATCGACCGATGGGTGTCTAGTTAAGTATTCTACGAATCCCATTTCTTTACCAGTGAGATGTTCAACGGTTAAATTGTAAGGTAGAAGTTTATCTGCCCAACAGGTAAGGCATGATTGGACCACCTTCGTGTACTTATCATCCTTTATGGCTCCGTTAAATGTTTTGTGATCTGTAATGACTCAAAGCTGTTGACCCAAAATTTTTGTTTTGATATGTTCTAGTGCCAAAATGAAGCCAAAAATTCGAGGTTGTTAGTGCTTTAATTGATTTTAGCTATATCTTGAAAATTACCTGCAATTGCTACCATTTTCCAAAATCCTTTTTGGTCTTGCTCGAGGAATGCGCCCAAGTTTAAATGAGATGCTTCGTCTTTTACTCTTGTTATAAATTAAACGTCGAAATGGTGATTTGTGACTGTGTTATTGTTTTTGTTCTTGTTTTTCTCGAACGCCAAGAGATGCACGTCTGACCAGTTAAACTGTTTGTCTTTTTTTGCTTTATTTCTCCGTGGATAGGGATGCTAGGTTTGGGATAAGTTTACAAAATTGATCAACCAAACCCATTACAGATCTTCTATCTTTGATACATTTTGGGTCTCTTAGGTTCTGCATTGCATCGTATTTATAAAACAGAAGGGTTTTTCCTTTTGCGTTGATTTTGAATCCCACCCACTCTTTGTTATGGGTTAGAAATTTAAATTTTCCCACATTATGGCTAGTGCTTCGACATCTAGAGTTTTTAACGCATCAAAAACCAATTTGCATTTATGATTAGTGCTATCAACAATAACGATTAAATTTTGTCTAAATAACAATGTATGTTTGGTAATTTTTCAGTCAAATGGTCCAATATGCTTTGGAACTGATTCGGCGTGACACCTAGGCCGTAAAATCTCGTTTTAAATCAATAAGAGCCCATCGCGCGTCCTCCCTTGTGTTTAGTTTACATTGATTTCTCGCTTTTCTTGACAATAGTATTTGGCTATATCCATACTTGAAATCTATAGATGAAAACCAAATCTTGTTTCCATCATGGCCACTAATTGTTCAGGCGACATTTTTAATTAATTCGAAGAATTCAGGCATTTGATAAATTTTTCGGAGTGTTTGTTTATTCAGTAGCTTTGAAAGCAAAGCTAATTTATTTGACCCGTCCATTTTTGCTGTTATGACGGTAGGGGATAAAAAGTAAATTTCCGAACATCTAGAGAATTTTTCTGTATGCCCGTCGACAAGTAACTGGTTGATGCAAGGTTTTACTCTAAAGTGTAAAAATATAGTTATACGATTGCCTTTTACTTGAATCGCCTTTTACTTGTATCGGTTTTAGTGGTTCGGTGAAATAGGTATTCACACGGTGAAACAGGTATTGAAATAGGAAGCTTTTCGATCTACCTTGTCTTGGTGGAAGGTCAATAATTATGCTAGTTATGTACAATTTAAAACCTCGCCGTTGTGGTGTGTCACAGATTGGAATGGAATGGATAGCAGACACGAATTTGATTTGTTTTACTTCCTTCCGACGGGATTTTCCTCCGGCAGTGCCCGTGCGTAGAGCTGTGTGGGCGGCTCCCGCTTTTGGAAATCTTTTTTCCGCAGGTTTGGTAGAACATCGTTGCCAAGCAAGTTTCTTTCCGCCCCTTCAGTGATAACTAAAGATTGTTTTTCTTTGCGACCCATCTTTTGATTGTATCCATTTTACGACTTTTCCGATAATATTTATTGTGCTCCCGATTCGTTGATATGTCTGTTTCGTAGTTTCATCAACTGCTTCATTTCTCATGAATCCATCCCTTATCTTGATTTCGTAAAGTAAATCCTTTTTTTGTAAGTAATAATGGGCTGGCTGAATCCATTTGGATTGCGGTAGAGAATGGATTAAAGTTTCAATTGACACCATTACTGTCTTCTTTAGCTCGTATTCTTTGTGAGTAAATACTGTTCTTATTCCCCGTACAATCCTATCCTTTAGAGCGTTCACTTCGTTGCCGGTATCTTTTGTTAAAACTAGAAAATCCTCCAACTCTACTTCAAACTCAGAGATGTCTTGTGGGCTATCACGGTGGGTTCCTTGTTCGAGTAGTTTCGAGTTTTGCTTAATAGCATTGGCTTGTGCCCTGTATGTACTTCTGCAACGTTTTGCAAAATCGCCTTTACGGCCGCAAAATTCAAAATTTTGATTGGCAAAATGTAAAGTGCTTCTTTTTATACTGTTGACCTTTTTTTTCTACTGTTAATACTTTTTACAATATTTCAGGTTGGTTTCTTCTCTTACAAAATGTGACTCTTGTACAGAATTTTCTACAGGTTGTTTTATATACTGCTGTTGTGTGTATTTTTTGCCTTTTTCGTGCACTAGTACATAAGTTTATACGTTCTGGGGGTTAGATACACAACTTTTTTGAATTTCCACCTTTCTCTTGTTAGTAAAAAAAATTGCCCTAACTGGTTCTGTCTCTAGCTCAACTAGTTTACACTTTTTTGCCAGCTTTGACAAGAGTTCATGACGTTTTATTTACTGACTCGTGATCTTTCTTACTTTCAACAAAAAAATTTGCATATTTCGTAAGTTGGGTACGTTATTATCGTAATTTATGTCAAGGATACTTTTTCCAGGATTTTTGCGCGCGAAGCATTTTAGGCCTTCCTTTCCGAGTGCCAAGTATAATTGTGATTTTAGCTTCTTATCGATGTCTCCGATTTGTAAGCCGTTGAATTTTGCGTTGTCTTCGGCTCTCTTCTTTCGCAATTCTTTGTTGTAAGCCTGTAACGCTGGCTTACTTCTTTCTTCTTTTTCTGCCCGACGGGTTGTGTCGTCGGATGTTTTCCGATGTTTCTAGATTTGGGAAAGTTAATTCGGACTTAAATGGTAGATTTATCACATCTTTGACACCCACGACATCTTTAGCGATGATTGATTGTTGGAATTTTTTTGCCCATTTTTCCCAATCCGGGTGATTTTCGCTGGATGCGTTGCTCCAAAATAACTCCAGACCTTGCAGGTTTGATTAGTTTGACCGAGCCATGTTAAAAAACGAGGTTACTTCAGATACGATTTTTAGGAAAACACTGATAAAAGAGGTTACTTAAGCTAGGACTACTTTAAGACTATATACAGGTACAAGTTCTCTACTAGTGATCATAGTAGACTTTTAAGCTAAGACTAGATCAAAAGACCATAAAATGAAAAGGGTCTAAATTAGTTAAAAATTCAAAACTCAGTTAAGCAGTTGAATTGAAATTGGTGATTTAAAACAGAACAACGAACATAAATCAGATATCCAAAAGCCGATGCGCTTTTGGCAGGTACTCTTATTAGTGAAACTAAGCATAAACAGTAGAGATTAAATGTGCACATTTCACAGAAGTATATATGAAAATTGTAGTTTATAATCATGCACCTTGACGCCACCGTCTTAGTTGACCTGGATAGCCATCTGCAGAAACATATTCAGGGAAAAGAGACCAACAATCATGAATGTCTAAATACAGTTTTTTATACTGAGTTGTTTTACCAGCATACTCGAGAAAGTATCTTGCGGACTGGTTGGCAACGACTGATATTCATAATTGACGTAAACTTTATATTTTTGTTATGCGACAACAGAGTCATTCCACGCGTTCCGAAAATGGCTGACTCGAAACACTCACAAGCTCTATTTTTTTAGAAAATTCAAAATTTGCGCCAAAATGCTTATATGTCAAAAAATTTATCGTCGATAAAACAAAAGAAAAAAGAGGGAATTGTAACGCTTACCTGTGTTGCAGTCTCCAGCTCAGACGCGCATCGCACGCAGATACAGTGACCACAGGGCAGCTCCTTCGCAGTTTCATCTGTGAAGCCTTCGCCGCATCTTCGGCATTTGAGTGACGGCGCAGTACGGTGGAACGATGGACGGGAAGTTGCCATAATTGTCGTTTAATTGTCAAAATGTTTGCAGATTTTGGCTAAGACTCGTAATGAACCAGTTGACGAAAATGAACTAAAATTACTAATTTGATTATTGTACGTTTTTTTCCTTTTGATGAAAAGGATAGTCCGTATTCTCCGTTTTTATAAAAACTGGAAAGTCAAAATGACAAAGATGAGATAACTCCACAATAGTCAAACAGATCACACTTATCTCAATTATTTGTTTTGTTCCGACCGCCAAAAATGGCGAAAAACCATGGCGCACCAAGTATTAGAAAAATAACTTCGGATGGTTTCTTCTGAGCTTATCAACCTTTTTTCAGTCATGAATCGAACTAAAATTGAAAATTCCAAATTTATTCAAGTGTCGAGAAAATATTTTTTCAAATGGTTGTTTTTAGACAAACTAAATTGACGAGTTTTGATAAACGTGTTTCACGACTTATCAAAACCAAAAAAGTCTTCGTCTTCGGAAACGGGTTAAAAACCTGTGAAAAATTGTAAGTTCAATATCGTAAATTTACTGAATTTAGACTGACTTGTTTTAGTCTTAACGGTTACCAACAATAACTTAAAACACACACAGACTTAACTAAGATTGGCAGGTATTAATTAATTGGTAGCCGCACCAAACACATGGCTAAACCAATGGCGCCAACAACGTAGTATATATAGTTATACTAGGAATAATATATATATGACATTCCCTCAACAACCATTTTTTTAAACAAAAGTTTTAAAAATTATCCGACGGAGAAATGTTTGAGTTTTGGACCCGCAGTAGTCCACCCTCTCCCTGGGCATAAGTTTTAGTTTAAATAGTTTTCTTTAGTTTCCTATTTCACTCCATCTTTCAAGTGTGTCTTCCTGCTTAATTCGTGTCCCGCTCTCTGTCCTCTCCTCCTTTGGTTGGTCTCGCTTTCAATATACTGTCTATCATAACCCCGCCGAATTTGGATACCGCCGTCCGTTTCCTGGTACTCTTCCTTGATCCTGCCCATCTTGATCTTCCGATTCCTGACTAGAATATAATACTAGGCGTAAACGTCGCCCTCGCTCCCCTTTCTTTTTGGGCTGTTTTTCCCCTTGTCCCTCGTTACTCAAATTCGGGGCACTTCCCCCTTGTTCGGTGCTCATGGTTTGGACCTCCGTGTCCACCCCCCTTGGATGTTAGAGTTCCGCTTCCTTCGGATAAGTTGGCTTTTCCCGTTATGTTTTCCACATCTTTAAGCACCTTTGGTGCATTCGCTTCCACGTTCCGATCGGGTGCTGTTGTTGTGTTGCCTGCATATTTGGAAATTGTTATCGGCTCGTACTGCGAATCCGAATCTGCCTCCTCCGCTGGTGAAATTTCGCGAGTTCTGTTTTCGGCCGTACTCTGTGTGCTTGTCCCCGCCGCCTGTTCGTTCAGTGCTCGTTTCAATTCCGCCCGACGTTGCAGCGCACTCATGGCTGGGGATGGTAGTGTTAGTTTGCTCGCAGTATTTGGCGCGTTGGTCCTGATGACTTTCTCAGCAACTCCACTTTTCCTAAGTACAGAGCCATTTGCTAGAGTTAGAGTATGTTTAGAGACGCGAACTACCTTTTGGTTTATGGGTCTATACCTTTTATTGCTGTCCTTAAGTCGTTGAAACAAAAGCTCGGTCCGTTTACTTGGCTGTTTGGACTTGCCCCCAAGGCCTGTTTCCCGCCAACCATTGGTGTTCCATCTCCCGCCGAAAATAGTTGATTCTGTGCCAGTCGTCTAGGATGGTTCATGTAATCAACATCAAACTCAACGTCGGATCGTTCCTCCCAATCCGTTGCCATGGGTTGGGGAATCTTCTGATTTCTTGGGTCAGTAGAATCTAAATAGGCAGATTTTTGTTTCAACACTCTGGCCCAATTTAGGTTTTGCAGGGTTGGCTTTTTCGTAAAATTTCGAAGGACCGTATTTGCTTCCCTGCCGTGATGAGCTTCAAACGGCGATAATTTGAGAGTAGCATTCGGAGCAAGTCTCAGGGCACTCAAGGCTCGTTCTATCACTGATTCTAAATTTCCGCTATATTTTTCTTTTACGTAAGTTAAGACAAAGTTTTTCATGCTGCCATTGGTACGTTCAACACATCCGGTGGCGCGATGATCATTCACGGGTGAATAAATTATTTCTATTCCTTCGGAATTACAAAATGATTTAACTGCACTCGATGTGAAACTTGATCCTTGGTCCATAAAAATTTTCCTAGGGACACCAGGTTGAGATATGTATTGTTTAAAGAACTTAAGGACCTTATCATTTTATTATTCCCGCAGATCATTGCAGAGGGCCAGCGTGAGAATCGATCAACCGCTACCAAAACATATTTACTCGATTCATTTAAGTATCTAATCGGACCCCAAAAATCTAGCTGTAGACATTCATTTGGCTCCCGTGGTTCATAGACTTTCCCAACGTCACCTTTAGCGCATAATGGTTTAAGGCTTTTACCTGCATCCGTGCATTCCTTGCACCCATCCGCAGCTGCAACTAAACTCCGGTGGAGATAGGGAAACCAGACATCCCTCGCAGCCTCGAACATATTCGAGCGCCCGTGGTGAAAGCAATGTAAGCGATTGGCTACAGCCTTTCTGAGTGGTATGGGGATGACGAGTCGTTCGTCCATCCACAGGCAATTTTTCCGCACGTGGAAATCATGTGTGTGCTGTCCGAGGTAGGCACCCATTGCTCTGACCTTCCTTTCTAATTCCGGATCCTTACTCTCCACCAGTTCTTTTATCACACGCATCTAAGGGTCCCCTTTATAATTTGCTTCAACTAGCTTTAGGTTGAATAGTTCTGGCAGTGCACTGCTTTTTCGGATGATCTTACAGTCCCCCGCTGGGTATGCCGCCGGAAAGAGTTCGCCTCCGAATGCCGAAGGAATGGAAATTACCGTGTTGCATCGGATGTCCCTAGTGTGATGTGTCTCCGCCTCTAGTCGTGCGCCTACTATCTCCACCTCGCTGCTACTGCCGCTTGTGATTTCTGGATGTTTCAACAATAATTCATTTAGTTTCTTCAAATTAAGTGATGTCATTGTAGAGGTATTTGTTTTGATAGATTGATAGCTTGTTTGGTTATAAGGAGGACTACTGTTTACTGTGGAATTAATATCAGACTCACGTAGTTTACATTCAGTAATTGACTTTACTATTCTCGCGCCCTCGCGGTCATTACACTCAGCTATTCGTTTTACTGGCTTCTGATTGGTTGTCCGACGGTCACGCGTTTTGACGCCCTCTTCCGATGGAAAGTTAATTCTATCGTTTCCAACTTGTATATCTTTAGCTGAAACAACCAATTTCCTTGATGCCTTAATAATCCCTCTATTGGTATCAATATAACCGAGTGAATTGGTAATTGACTGCAATTTGGCAACTGTGAACGTGTTATCATAGAGACTAACTTTTGTTGCTTCCCCCACCGGATGCCTTGATAGATAATCCGCCAGGCCAATTTTAGCCCCAGGCATATGTTCAATGACAAAATCAAAGGGGATAATTCGATCGATCCAACGAGTCAACCGACTGAACATAGTTTTGTTTTTCTTATTGTTTCCATTCAATAATGATACCAAAGCCTTGTGATCTGTCACTACCGTAAATTGCCGCCCGAAAATGTAATTTTCTAAAATATTCGGAACCCCAAACTACGGCCAGCCTTTCTAGCTCATTTGTCGAATATTTTTTTTCGGCCGCATTTAGAAAACGGGACGCAAATGATATAGGTCGCCAACCCTCGGCGCCTAGCTGTTCGAGTACAGCCCCCAAACCATTATGGCTTGCGTCGCACACGATACGTATGTCCTTATGCACATCAAAATGCTTAAGTTCGACTATGTTCGCGACTTGTTTCTTAAGCGATTTGAACGCTGTTTGGCAGTCAGTTGTCCATAGGAATTCGTTTTTCTTACTAAGCAGCGGACGTAGGGGCGCCGAAGTTTCTGCCAACGCAGGTAAGTATTTGTGAAGGCTATGGATTGACCCCATGAACGATTTCAATTGTGAGAGCGTTTTTGGGGCAGCTAATTTGTCAATTGGATCCGTTTTTTGCACCATTGGTGTAATCCCTGATTTCGTAATCCGGTGGCCTAACCATTCGCAAGTGTTTTTTGCAAATTGACATTTTTCTAGTTTCAAAGCCATATTTTCTCTATCTAATTTCGCTAAAATCTTCTCCACCAGGGCAATATGTTCAATTTTGGTTTCTATTGAAATCACTAATATATCATCAATGAAAGCATGTGCGCACGGAAATTCAGCCAGAATGGCATCCATGACCCGTTGAAATTCCGCCGGCATGGTTGTCAATCCATAGAATCCTGTCTTGAATCGATATTTACCGGTAGAGTGGCCTCCCACCAACGAAAAATTACAATGTTTGCCAGTATTTTCATTTAACGGAAGTTGACCGTATGCGTACGTGAGATCCATCGTTGTAAAAAAACACCCCCATGTTTACGCTCGCTGATTGTTTGCCCTACAATGTCCATTAGTTCTTCAATATTGGGCATTTGATATTTATTTTTATGCACTTGCTTGTTCAATTCTCTGGATTCCAGTGCAAATTTTACCGAACCATCCTTTTTCACTGTGATGACAATAGGTGAAACAAAATATTTATCTGAACATTCTTCCAATTTTTGAATATGACCCTGTTCCAAAAGTTTGTCAATCTCCTTATCGATTTTTTCCTGTAATGTTATGGGTACTCGCCTACCCTTTTGTTGAATTGGAGTTAGATTCTTGAAGAGTTCAGCCTGCACTTTATAATTTCGGATACGCCCTACCCTGCAAAAAAGATGTTGAAATTGCTTACTGAAATGTGTCTGCCAATCATCCAAGTCATTGTCCGTCGCCACAGTTCCTTCCTTTGAATGTATGCTGTTCACCCCTTCTGTCGATGGTGCCTGTACTAACATCAGTCCGAGTGCTGGCATTAAATCCCTGCCAATAATAGACGGTCTGCACCCTCCGAT